AAGGTTCCTGACGGTAAGCATGAGGACCCGCACGATGTGTGAAAAAATTAAGGCAAAATGTGTTCGTTCCCATGACGTTTGTAAGGCAGACGTTTGAGGGTTGATATATACAAATTAAATTAACTCACCCAATTATATCATACTAGTGTAATTTAATAGTCCGTTTTATTCTTGGTTTAAATATTGATAAGCTACATCCAATTTAGTAATAATTTAATAATTCGTAATGGCTTAACACATTTGTCAACGCCGTAGTTGGGAGTTATAAATGCAAACACGCACCAGTTTCGAACAAAAACCGCTGTGTGCTCAAGTCAATGTGCGAAATGTACTTTCCAGTATATTCGCATTGGTTTGACTATAGCAAGAATTAACGCGTACAATGACTTGCCCTTTGGCCATCCGAAATCTGGTAGAAAGTACGAAGGAAGCGCAACTTTCCGATTGTTCTCTAGCGACGTAGAAAAGGTATTAAATATCGCTGATCTTAAAGACCACGACAGGAAACAGCCATAATATAGATGAAGACGGCTCAGACCCTGCAGGAAACGCGGACCTAGAGCCAAGTCCAAAGCGTGTTCGAATGGAAAGACAAGAACAGGAGATTGTTTTTCTCTCCGTGCACACTGCAAAAAATCCATTTTCGCTTTGAGTTATTTTAACACATAAATTTGCGTAAAATTCAATGTTTACTCAGTTTTAAGAGTATTTTTACTCGAATATGCTGTGTATAACTTCAAACTCAAACACCTGAGTAAACTATTTTGAGTAAACCACTATCGTTTACGCAGATATAATCGGTAAAATTACTCCTTTGAGTAAGTTGCTTCATATTTACTCGTTATTCTCGAGTAGAATCGCTGTTTTACTCTGACATTGAGTTAATATGCTTTCCAGACTGATCGATTTAATCAAAGCTGAGTAAAGATGCGAATCTACTCAATGTGAGTAGAATGTATTAGTCACTCATGGTTTGAGTATTTTTACACCGGTAAATGTTTGAGTAAGAAATATCGAGTAAACACCACCAGCTACACAAATGTGATGAGTAAATTTACTCAAAAGGTAAATTTACTCAAAGACTGTACCAAACAGTTTCCTCAGTACTCAAAACTTGTGAGTAAATTGACTACAATACTCTTCAGGTGAGTCAACTCAGCATCGGACAAACCGGCTTTACTCACAAATAGCAGGACAAATACCACCGATCAAACATCGGCAAGAAATTGCTCGATAAATAAATGTGATCGACGAAAGTCGGCAATAACAGTCATGACTGCCGATCATCCTGATCGGGAACTTTGGGAACGTTATTTCAAGTCCTGATTCCTGAATAGAGTAAACGTCATCTATATCACGATAACAACGTTGAACCATAGTTAATAAATAGAAAAGCACGAGCATAGGCGTACCGGGCGGGGGGGCGGGGGGGGGGGCGGTAGCCCCCCCCAGTTTTTTGGGCAGTCGGGCAATATTCGATCAACAGTCGGGCAATTTTGGTTTGCAATAAAAAAAAATGGGACAAATTCTGTCAATTTTGTCTAAAATTAAGTAAATTTTTTTCCAAATTTTGTGATTTTTCGAAAATTTGTGTTATGCTCCGAAAAAATTGGTCGTCCGGAAAATTTTTTTGACCCCTAAAATGGTACACTGACCGAAATTTTTTTGGCGACGGTGGGGGGGGGGAGGTCGCCAAAATAATTTTTCCTGAAAAAAATTTTTGGTACTAGTCGGGCAGAATCCCGAAAAGTTGGGCAGAATCCCGAAAAGTCGTGCAATTTTCTTTCCGCCCCCCTAATTTTTTCCTTCCGGTACGCCCATGAGCACGAGGTCATGCACAGTATATATTTCAGTGTTGCTTATTCTGTGATATACGCAGCGATAGTCTTGTCTTAATCCCCTGCTTTGTTTGCGTCTTGAAATGTGAAACGACAGTGACGTAAATTATATCTGACGACGCGGTAAGTTCAAATTTCAGTGCCTCTTGCCTGCTTTGGTGGACATATATGATTCATCTGTAATGCGAGGAATTTCATGGCGAAAAGCATCAACTTCTTCTTCTTTTATATCGAAAATGGTAATAGTGTAAGAGGCATGAAGACTTGGCTTACAGAGATGGGTTTGGGAGATTGTTGTCTCTCATTTGAAGGTATATTTGCAGATTTATTTCATGTAGACGTTTGGACAAATAAACGGCAACTGAATATGGTTTACCGCGCTTCATTCGCATTTGCTTCACTAGTTTAAACTTTGTCGCGTCATGATTGTCTACTTTAGAATTTTCGAAGCTTCCAACGGGCGTTTATAACAGAAACGAACTAAAGACGAAAAGCGCATTTGGCATCACAAAAAGCGTTAAGATTGATCGCTGTTAGCCGCTGTGGTATTGTGGCACAATGCGGGCCGCCCTCCATATGGACGTTTGCAGTTGTATGTTTGCCCAAATATAAGCTACATTGATTGATTATATTTTCTTTACTCACAACTCTACATGTTTACTTACGCTTAAGACAAATATTTGTATGTCTGTAACTGTATTTATAAGAAGGGAAAACGAATTTAACTACAGAAAATTCAAACCATCGGCAAGGTGTAATACGATACGTTTGCATTGCAATTGCGCCTATTAAGGTCTGTGACAGCCTGTCTGTGACACAGTCTATGCGCTGCCTCCTCCTTAACTAAGATCAACATTTAAATATCAGTAATATATAGTTCAGCGCGTGGACTGCAATGCGCACATGTGTACTCTTTCTAAAGTCTAACGGCAGTAAAGTACGTTTTATAAAATGCTTTCATGTTTCATATATTGCTAGATAAACAAAATTGCTCACCACGGTGCCAGTGTAATTTATTTGCTAAATAATCTAAAAGCCTATATATTGTTTGCGTGATTGAATTTTGCCCGACGCGCCAGTCACTTCCTTCAATTTGAGCTTGCAATTCCACAATCCACAAGATAGAAGATTAAAGAAAATCATATAGAAAATAACTATTGTAAGAGCAATTAGTAATTAATTAATAGAGTACATGCATGCATGATACATAAACTATTGTCCTGAAAGCTTTTCAGTCCGTTCTTTGTCAATTAATATAGAAAACCAAATAGATGAAGATGAATTCATTGCTTTAACAGAAAGAGAAGACGTTCAGGACGAACGTCTTATACTTGTGGTAGGTCATAAAATGAAATTTTTTGAAGGCTCTGGTGGGCGATTGTAAAACCATTAGCCTGCGAGCAGGCTCTCATCTTCGAGCCTGATCGCAGGCTAAATTCCCATATAATTATTTTAAATTTAAAAACTCCCAGCAAAATATACAAAAGGACTTGAGGCTCGACTTGAGCACAGAGTAGATACATATTCCATATTTAATTTAAAATTAAACTGCCAGCAAAATATACAAAAGGACTTGAGGTGAGTATTTTACATGTATTATCATTGTATTTTATTATCTACTATACCTTAGAAAGGTTGGGGTGAGGCAAACCCTTCGGTTTTGACATTTTTCATCACATGAATCAACATTTTCAAATTAATATAACTTCAGTTCAGTATTTTTATGACTACAAACAAATACTGTAATGAATTTGTAAATTCGTTGTCCTCCCTGCCAAAGACGGCTGATTTTCTCCAGTTTCGAAGTTTGAACGACATATATGTCTACTCTTTTGCACTCTGGTGTTGCTGTGCAAGTGTGGCGACAAGCCGCCTGTCGCCGGCACCCCTCTTTGGTGGCTGATTAACAAATTGGCCGCCTGATATTGGGGACTTGTATATAGACATATATGTGCATGACATTAAAAAAATAAAGCTTTTTGCATATCATTAATTAACCTGGCAACCTGCCAAAGACGGCTGATTTTCTCCAGTTTCGAAGTTTGAACGACATATATGTCTACTCTTTTGCACTCTGGTGTTGCTGTGCAAGTGTGGCGACAAGCCGCCTGTCGCCGGCACCCCTCTTTGGTGGCTGATTAACAAATTGGCCGCCTGATATTGGGGACTTGTATATAGACATATATGTGCATGACATTAAAAAAATAAAGCTTTTTGCATATCATTAATTAACCTGGCAATTTGAAAGAATTATATATTCTCCAGTTTGGAACAACATATATATCTATACTTTTGCACTCTGGTGTTGCTGTGCAAGTGTGGCGACCAGCCGCCTTTCGCCGGCAGCCCTTTTTGGTGGCTGATTAACAAATTGGCCGCCTGATATTGGGGACTTGTATATAGGCATATATGTGCATGACATTAAAAAAATGAAAGCTTTTTTGCATATGATTAATTAACCTGGCAATTTGAAAGAATTATATATTCTCCAGTTTGGAACAACATATATGTCTATACTTTTGCACTCTGGTGTTGCTGTGCAAGTGTGGCGACAAGCCGCCTTTCGCCGGCACCCCTCTTTGGTGGCTGATTAACAAATTGGCCGCCTGATATTGGGGACTTGTATATAGGCATATATGTGCATGACATTAAAAAAATGAAAGCTTTGTGGAAATGATTAATTCACCTGGCAATTTGAAATAATTATATATTCTCCAGTTTCGAACAACATATATGTCTATACTTTTGCACTCTGGTGTTGCTGTGCAAGTGTGGCGACAAGCCGCCTTTCGCCGGCACCCCTCTTTGGTGGCTGATTAAAATTGGCCGCCTGATATTGGGGACTTGTATATAGGCATATATGTGCATGGCATTAAAAAAATAAAAGCTTTTTGGAAATGATTAATTAACAGTCCTGGCAATTTGAAAGAATTATATTCTCCAGTTTTGAACAACATATATGTCTATACTTTTGCACTCTGGTGTTGCTGTGCAAGTGTGGCGACAAGCCGCCTTTCGCCAGCACCCCTCTTTGGTGGCTGATTAACATTGGCCACCTGATATTGGGGACTTGTATATAGACATACAGGTATATGTGCATGACTTTAAAAAAATGAAAGTTTTTTGGAATTTATGATTCATATAACCTTGCAATTTGAGGGAATTACATTCTCCAGTTTTGAACAACACTATTGTCTATACTTTTGCACTCTGGTGTTGCTGTGCAAGTGTGGTGACAAAGCCACCTTTCGCCGGCACCACTCTTTGGTGGCTGATTTGCATGGTGGCTGATTAATTGGGGACTACAGTTATTGTATATCGATATATGAATAATATAAAAATATTTAAGTGTTTAGAAATTATTAGGTATAAAAACTCATATGAAACATTAACCTAGAAATTTGAAAGAATATTATTCAGTCTAAATCTCAGTGGCAGTGTGTATTAATTTTATTTATTATTTTATATCATACTACTGTATATTGTTATTGTATATTATACTATATGTGGTTTTGGCATTTCCTTACTCAAATAATAACCATGTATAAGTGTTATGTTAGAGCACACCCAAACCGGGGGCTATGTTCCTTCTATTTATCTAGGAAAGTTAAGATGTAGACAGCTTCGTGTCAAGCAAAGACCCAAAAGAATTGCCATTTCTTGTAATGGTTGTCTGGCGACCGTTGAATGCAATTTCTCAAATCTTTATTGTCGCTGACTTGCTGGTACTTTTTCGAGTTAAGGTTGTAATTGTGGAACTGATGGCATGAACTCACATTCTCTTTTCGAGAGGAGGTTAATTAATGAAATTAGGAATGCCGACATATACAAGTAATATGAACTGAATAAAATCTGAACTCAGTAGGAGAGGGCAATTGCTCTTGTATTGTATTTTCAGTAGGTATCGTTTATAACTCATTGCAGTATTTGCATCAGTTTGGTTCGAATGTTGCATCTTTACTCTGAACGGAGTGCGTACAACCATGCATGCATGTATTGTAGGTCAAAATCACTTTGTTTGTTACTACTGTGTATGCTAATTTTAATTTGTACTAAATATTGGTAGAATACATTATTTTCACTGACACAGTTGTGTTGAGATGGCTGAAGTGATTAGATGTATAATATAAAAAGATGACTATATAGTATCTGACTTTATATTATTTCTTTCAGTCATGGCCTTACTCGGAACAATGAGTAAAAAGGTACTCAACTCGGTGAGAAAAAGGAGAATGTTTAAAGATTTGAGTAGTTTTGTACTCGTTGTTTTGAGTAAGGCACTTCTTTTACTCACTGTGAGTAAATATCGCACTTTACTCACGTTTTAGGTGTGTGAATGCATTTTGTTTTACTCAGAAATTTGAGTTATTTTTACTCAAACTTTGTGTGTCACTGTGACTGCATTGTTTTACTCAAATATTTGAGTTGATTTACGCAAGGATTTTTTGCAGTGATGGATTAAAACACCATCCAAGGACCTGACCCTTCCACACATACATATTTCCATGTATAGTGCGTTCTCATATAATATCTCTTCAGTCCCGATTTGAAAGCATGCAGTCCAATATCTCTATGACGAAGGTCACAACTTAAAATGTTCCATGATGTCTTGACAAGCTCGAACAGGGTGTATCAATAAAAACGCAACCTCGGAATTTCCTAAGAAATCACTTTGCAATTCTTAAGCATAAAAGGATTTTAGGCCCCTGGGAATTGAAATCGAATTGCTAATAGATCATATTACTGTTGTTGTGCATTGGG